ATACAATTCTATTCTCTTTGTATTATCTTATTTTCTCTCTTAAATTCAACTATTATTGCCTCACATAACACAGACATGAAAGCCCCGTCTAGGAAGCCCAAACATAATAGCATCTCGAGAAAGCAGCACTAAAAGAAAAATATTGATAAGAGCTTTAAACCAGTGCGATAGGGTATGCTAGAATGAAACAAAATAATGGTACTCCTAAGGCTAAGGCCACAAAAGCATGGCTCAAGCAGCCATACGTTCCATCATTCAGTCATCCATGATGGTTACATAGATCCAAATTTTTCTAGTAGTGTTCAATTAATTAATTTTTTTTTTTTTATGGAAAAGGCATTAAATCATCAATAGGCAAAAATAAATTATCCTAGTATACATCGTTATGACAAACACATCTCTGTACATACCTCCATTCAATCCAAGTTGCGGTGCAATTTATGAAAATTATGAAGATTAAAAGAGGGAATGAGAGACCTTTATAACAGGCACCTGGCCACCAAAAAGGAGGACAACGCTCATTTTCAAGAGGACTATGAAAGTGTCCCTAACTTTATCAACATTGAATTCTTTGAAACTCTCAGCACAGTCCCCGCCCTGCAGGAGGAAAGCATTGCCAAGTGCGGCCTGGCCGAGCTTTTCCTCAAGGCTCCGAGCCTCACCTGCAAACACAATGGGAGGGAAGGATTCAATTGTCTCAAGGACACTTTCAAGGCTATCTTTATCTGGATATTCAGGGAGTTGCCAGGCCTGTTTCGATTTCCAGCTGTCAAGACTCCATCTTTTTGGTGGCAGCCTGGTGGTAGTGGATGATGGGTGAGTTGAATTGGTGGCTATCACAGGCTCCATTGCCTTTTCTCTTGATTCTTTTGAGGGGGAATGAAAGAGAGGAGGGTAATGGAGAAATGGCTAACAAAGAATTCAATAATTAGATTATGCTCTGTGAATCTCATGCACAATTATATAGAGCATGCTGGAATTTGAACTTTCATTGACATTGATTTGCGTGCAAAGGGATCCTTTGTAATTCCTTTGTAACTCCAATTTGTTATTGGTCCAAAGAGATCCTTTGGTTATGGTGAATTCTCCGCCCTTGTCCGTGGTTTTCCCGAATTTAGGTTTCCAAATAAATCTTATTTTATTTGTAATCCATTATTTTCATATTGCTCATATCATTCTCGTCTTTTATTATTCGGCCGGATTATTAACACAATGCATGTTGAGGCCACAGATTCTCTGAAGCAAGATTCAATTATTTCCTCCAAGCAGAAGATGCTAAAATATATTGTTGTTGAGCAAAATTGAAAAGTTTTCAGACAATGCAAGTTCAGCAAAAATTCATATAATGCATGTGAGATAATTGATAAGCTTTCATATAATGCATGTTGATAAGCTTTCCAAGTCGACTTCAAATAAGAATTCCCAAATAGTCTTTCAAATAAAATTCCGGTCACACCCTAATTTTAACAATCTGATTTTTATCGTTAGCAAATAGAGTAAGTGTTGATCATAACAATTCACAATTGGGACTTAACAAAGAGGGAGAGGCCTATAACCTAATGGAGTGGCTTTGAGAGACTTTGATTTTTTGGATCAAGTTGGTTCCATGCAATTATTGCAGGCACATAACAAGATTTTTAAACGTGCAAAAACAGGAAAGAC